CTGATACCCATGTTGTGCTGGAACGGTGGGAACGGTGGGAAACGTACCAATCTTCTTTCTTGCTGCGTTTCCCTGGTTGAAGTTTTCTTCATAGTTTTTGAGGTCACTGCGTGTTCTTGGCCGAAGATTTCCTTCAGAGCTTTGCGGACGTTGTTCGCTCTTGGCTGAAGGTTTTCTCCTGAGTTTTGAATGCAGGGCCTGAAAGAGAACAGAAGAAAGAAGGTCGAAGCACCCCTTGTTGGGGCTGATCGGTGAAGCAAAGACAAACATGATTATAAAGGGCAAGGTTTTCTGAGTTTGAAGTTTATTTTTCAATGGGCTATGCATTCACGGAGGTGGCACTCGGTGCCCTGTCGTCAGCTCGTGCACCCCCAACAATAGATCGACTTGAACCGTGTAACGCGCCCTTCACATATTCGGGATTTGATTATTTTGGCCCATTTGAAGTGAAAGTTGGGAGAAGGTCAGAAGGAAGATACTGCTGCTTGTTTACCTGTCTTAGTATAAAGGGCGTGTACATCGAAGTGGTTTAGAATATGGAGACAGATTCTTTCCCATGTGCGTTCGCGAGGTTCGTCGCCCAACGAGGATTCCCGAGAAAGCTTTTTAGTGGTAATGGGAAAAACTTCAGGGGTGCGGAAAAAGAAATCAAAGAAATACTAAAACAATGGAACCAGGGAGGGATAAATCAAGTCCTCGGTGATAAAGGTTGTCACTGGGCGTTTACTCCTCCAACAGCAAGCCGCAGAGGAGGGATCTGGGAGTGTCTCATCCGATCGGTTCGACGAATATTACGTTCCATACTGGGATCACAAGTTATCAACTGGGAGGTTTTCACAACGGTGATGACCGAGGTCGAAAAGATAATGAACAACCGACCTCTAGTAAAGAATAGTTCGGATCCAGCTGAGTACTCCGTACTCACCCCCAATCACTTGTTGCTAGGGATAGGCAGCCAAGCATTTACAGGAACGCTAGGTAGCCCGAGTAAATTGAATCCACGATGGCGATGCGTACAGAACAATTCCAATTCACTGTGGAAGAATAGGATGGAAGCATTCTTACCACTCTTGCAGGAAAAACAATGTTGGGTCAAAAACACGCTGGAGCTGTCCATCAGAGACAAAAATTCACCACGTGGGATTTGGAAAAAGGCGACAGTCGACAAAATACTACTTGCTAGAAATCGTAAAGTACGAGACGTCCAACTCAAGACGGCAGAAGGTCTCCTAACTCGCGATGTCCGGAGTTTGTATCTGCTGGAATACCGTGAAGATCAGTCACTCAGCAGTAAGATTTCTCCTACTATTAACTCTGGGGGAGTGTACGTCAATAACGTGAAATGTTCATTGATAGTATTTGCCTACTGATTTGTCATTTCAGTAGTGTGACTGGTAAACCGACAATATTGCACCTCGTTTCCTTGACGCGGTTCATCGTTCTAACAATGTTGCACATCCCACCCACGAGAACATTGCGACAGTTATACATAATTTTACATCCCCATACCTCTTTTAATTCCTACCTCGTATTAAATGTATTAAATGTAAATTTCGAAACGTATATGAACACTGACACTTTTTCTATCACTCGATTATACAAACACATTGCGACGCGCACATTTTAAGGACTCTAACGGAAACTTAATACGCTTACGCCTCAGACTCACTTGCTTGCAAACTTTGGTTGTACGCTATTCTTTCGTTATATATGATTATTCATGCGTTATAGAACCGTGTCTCACGAATCTTGGTTGTTGATTCGCTATGTGGTGTCCGTTGGGACGTGAAATAAACCAAGTAACAAATCGAACTTCGAAAGGCAACTCGCAGCTTAGCCGACAGGAACTCTGTAGGAGATATTTGGAAGAAGTCAATTAAGGACGACCGATAATTTGCTACAAATTTAACCACATATGTCAAGAAGCGAAGAAGGAGTCCCGGAGGATCCAATGTCTCTCCTGCATCTGGAGAAATATTCCAATTTGGAATATGATGGTGTTATGATCGAAAGGTACAAGGAGTCGGCGTTGGAAGTAGCTCGTTTAACGAAGGAAATGACATATCGAGAGAATTTCTATTCTGAAGCTCAAAAAGGTTTCGGTGAGTCCCCAGCAGTGGAGAGTTTTCGGTCGCTGCCAATTCATGCTGACATAAACGACCATCCTTCTAAGATAGTTCATGGTGTTTTGTCAAATGTCTTGTCTAAGGTTGACCATGGCAACCGGTGCACTCTACTTATGTCCTAGGGTGTTTTACCTTTAAGGAATTTTTTTATGGCGATTCTCGTCGATATCGGTTGTTCGTCAGAAGCTTTCAAGTTACTGCAGCAAAAAGGGTAACCAATAATGAAAGACGTTTGCCTTATTTATTACATTACTGCATAGGAGAAGCAAAGAAGACTGTAGAATGCTGTGCAATTCTTGATCCATCAGAGGGCTATGGGGAGGCATTCAGAATCCTTAGCCATTGTTTCGGACAGCCCCATATTCTCGCTAGAGCACACATAGACGAGCTTGTCGATGGATCAGATCAGGAACTTAGGCCCAGTAGCGCTCATGAAGCTAGCTGGGGAAATGAGAAACTGCAGAAATACGTTACAACAACTGAACTACCTGTCACCCTGGAATTACTCTCGAACAATCGCTGCCGTCGTAAGACGAATGCCGAAAGCATTACAGTTTAAGTGGTCGGAAAATGCGTCCTCTATGTTACGCCAAGGTCGTGAACCGACGTTCCCAGATTTAGCAGACTTCGTGAATGATCGATCGGTGATATGATGGCCTTTTCCAGCCATCAGGGAATTCACCTTTATCTATACAGTTCTGAAACAGTCGCCTGTAATATGGGGCCAGTACAGCCGCTGTTTCCTTGAGTATTCTGGGATGGACCTCGTCTGGGCCCATGGAGCTATAAGGCTTTAGTTACTTGAGAAGTTTTGCAATATCTTTGGTCTGAGCAATGAAGTGCCCAATGGGGACTATACCTGACTGAGGCTGGAGAGCAGGAAAGTGGGTGGAGCGAAGTTGAAAATATCCTACAAGTTAGTTCAGGTGTCCATTGCCTATTCAGGTGAGATAATTTG